GAGACCAACGTAACAGTCGATCAAAAGAGAATCCTAATGATGCGCGAGATAGTAACGTAATAATCGATGCAAAGAGAATTTAGTAGTGTGCGATATACTGACGCAATAATCTATCAAAACAGAATATTAACAGTATCTTTACAATGAGCAAGATTTTAACGTAGCAATCTATCAAGAGGCAAGAAACAGTGCCCGAGATACTAACGCAACAAATAAACAAAGAAATTCAAAGAGTGGGCGAGAAACTAAACTTAAAAACGACCCAAAGAAAACCATAACAGTGCGCGTAATACAAACGCAACAATTCATCAAAAGAGAATCCCAACAGTGGCGAGATACTAACCAAACATTTGATCCAAAGAGGATCAATGCCCGAAACACTAACTAAACTACTTATCAAAGGAGGCCCATAGACATTTACGAGACAATAAAGTAAAAATCGATAAGGAGAGAATCTTAACAGTGCAAAAAAATACAGTTTAAATAATAATCAATGAAAACAGGATCTTAGCGGTGCGCGCAAGATACTAACGTAACAATCAATCCAAAGATAATCCTATTAGTCCGCGAAATACAAACATAATAGTTGAGTTGATCCAAAGAGAATCCTAAGAGTGCGCGAAGTGCTAATCTAAAAATTAATACAAAGAATTTTTAACAGTACGCGAGATATTAGTGTAACAATTGATCCAAAGAGAAACTTAACAGTGTGCGAGATAATACGTAACATAATGACTGAGCCTAAGAGAATCTTGACAGTGCGCGCCAGTGGGCGAAATACTAGTTCCTAACGCCCCAATTACTACTAACCCAACAGTTGATCTAAATACAATCTTAACAGTGCGCGAGATACTATGTAAAATGTATCAATCGATTCAAAGCGAATCTCGCCAGTGCGCGAGATACTGACGTAGCATTAGATTCAAAGGGAATCCTAACAATGCGCAATCTGCTAACCTAACAATTGATCCAAAGAGAATTTTAACAACTGATCAAATGAGAATTTTGAAAGTGCACAAGATGCTAACGTACCAATCCATCAAAACAGAATGTTAACAGTGAACGAGAGACTAACGTAAAATCGATCATTACATTATTGATGCGTGAGATACTCCCCTAATAATTGATCCAAAGAGTACTTTAACCCTTTCACTCCCAGATCTCGATAGCAATTCTCCTTACTGTAAGCAATACAACTCTTTTGATGTTAATTCAGAGAATTTGGTATTGAATCAACTAATAATCCCCCATTTGATCTGTTGCCTTATTCTCATCTCTTGTCTGCTTGATATTGTAATGACTTTGTACGGAGAAATTCTGTCTTGGTCACAGTAGAACTACGGTGGCAGGAAAGGAAAGCCGATGAATTTTCATCTCTTGTACAAAGTCTACAATCTGTACACCAAATCAAGACATTCCAGTTTCCTGATTAAAAAAAACTTGTTTCATTTATCCTCGAAATCATATTTCTTACCTATAAGGTTGAAATAGGTAGAGAAATTAAGTTGAAGCTTAGAGACAAAGTCAGAAATGAAAAAACATTGTCTGCCTCAACCACTTTGATTGCATAATAACTTGTTTTGTTTTGTTTTTTTTTTTCTGAAAAATGAATATGAATCTCGCAAAAAGTAGTCAGTGCACTCGCAAACTTCCAGAGAACCAATCAGAGAAGCATCCTTTCAACTGAGTAGGAAACAAACTATTCCTAAACGACACCTGGAAAAAAAGGGACAATCATGTTTGCATTTGAACATATGAACATCTTTTTAATTCTTTGATCTTTTACGATGGAAATTATAAACACTGAAGAGACAGCAGGTATCAAGGCTGTAAATAACTGACGGGCAGTCGCCGGTCACGTTGTCCAGTCAAACATGCTTTTGCTCGGACACTACCCGTTTTTGGCCGGTCAAATTTTAACAGTCCGAACTCTTGCGATAGTGAACTCAGATTGCACAGTAATCCTTTTACAACTAAAAAACAACTGAATCCAAGTCGGTCTGGCAATAAAAATTACAAGTCAATAATTTTACTACTCTTTACTGCAGAAGCAGCCTCGCATTGAGTACGTGGAACGGTTACGCAAGATACAACCGCAATTGTCCGTTTTACTTTACATCTGGCAAAATCACTTATAATTAAATATTACACTCAGAGCCCTTTTTTTTAAAGTTACAGTTGT